AAATAGTAAATTTTAAATGATACTTGCATATTATATGTAGATTACAAATGACATTTTGCATATAATCTTGACCTCTCAGATGATGAATCCTAAGAGACTTAATTTTTTCATGAATTGCTTGACATTTCCACCCAAAATTAGTAATAAACAACTTCTGTGTGAGGTAGATACCTGTTATGGATGTTCAAAGAAGCTTCAGAAGCATTTATTTTAAAAACAATTTTCTGATACTTTTAATTGGTCATTGCAGCATGAATTATCATTAGTTTCTATATAACTTCGTAAATCAGTAGTTGTTAACCTTCTTCCCATTTATCCCACTGCCCCTGAGTACACTCTGATCAGAAGGGGAGAGATACGTTTAGTCATATTGTTATTGTTGTGTGCTGTTGAGTTAAATATGACTCATAGTCAACCAGTGAACAACAGAACCCTGCCCTTTTCTGTGCCACCTTCATCATCTCAAATACAGAGAATAAGAGAGCTCTGCTCTGGTGACCTAGTGCTAAGGAGTTGAATTGCCAGCCCAAAGCTGGAATCTGCCAACTACTTTTTGATAGAAAGATGAATAGTCTTCTCTCATAGATGTTACAGCTTCTGTAAATACACTGGATGATCTGCTATGAGTTTGTCTCTAACCGATAGTACCTAACAACACAGCAACATACAGAACAAAAATATGCTCCATAGCAACCTAAGTGAGAAGTCTACTTTGAAGTATGTGTTTTACTGAAGGGTAAAATTGTAGTTTAAAAATATTTAATATCTGGTGGCCTAGTGGCAAGAAGCTGCAGTGCAACCCCAAAGGCACATGGTTCGAAGCCACCAGGTGCTCCACAGGAGATGGATGGCAATCCCCCCTCATGCAGTTAACTGCCTCTGAAAACATGCTGCTTGGTCAGCTGTGGTTCAGTTCTGACTCGACGGTACACAGCAACAACAACAGCTATTTGACTACTTTTTATGGAGCATAACTTTGTTCTGTATATTGTTGTCCAGCCATCATGTCAAAATTGATTTATAGCTGATCCTCTAGCATATTTTCAGAAGCTATAAATCATATGGGCATAGATTCAAACTGTGTGCCTTTGGGGGTGCAACACAGTTTCTTACCACTAGGCTACCAGTGTTCCCTTGTTCTGTATAGGATCCAGCAATAAAAAAACATTGCTGTGTGTACTAGAGAGTCAGAACCAACCCCAGCAGACCCTCCAGCAGTTTTTCAGAGGCAGCTAATCCCGTGGGAGGAGATTGCCCATCCTCCTCTCACAGAGCAACTGGTGGCCTCAAACCATGTGCCAGTTACTGATAATAATCTTGCAAACCTCCTGACAGACACCAAACCAGGCATTTTGTTTACTTTACTGTAACCTTCTGACATAGTTGCATGATGAAAAGCATTGCCCTAGGAAGAAGTTCAGAGTGGATGCTAATTAGAGGCAATATTGGAACTTTGTCACATACACTTTGAGCATGTTGTTAGTAGAGTCTAGTCCTTGGAAAAAGTCATCATGCTGGGAAAATGGAGGATCAGAGAAAGAGTAAGACACTCAAGATCGATGACACAGTGACTGCCAGTGGGCTTGAGTGTTACCAGGGATGGTCAGGTGTGCATAGAGTCACTGAGTCATAGTCAACTGTTGGCACCTAACAAGATTCTAATCTAATCAGCACTACACAGGTGGGGTTGTAGACCTACTTCTTTTACTACAGTATCTTATACAGTGTTCTTCAGTGAATTTCTTTTTCCTTTTTTTGTTATTTCTAGCCTTCAGTTTGACCCAGCGCCTCGTCGTGGAGAGCCTCATGTTACCCGACGCACTCCAGACTACTTCCTGTAGATTGCTTCAGGGAAAACCTGCCTTTGTATGTGGAAGTATACCTGGCTTTTTAAAATATATATATACACAAATATATATATATATTTAAAAACAAAAAAAGCAACAGTAATCTATGTGTTTCTGTAACAAATTGGGATCTGTCTTGGCATTAAACCACATCATGGACCAAAATGTGCCATATTAATGATGAACATTTAGCACAGTTGTAGACTGAAATCCAGTACATCACTATGTTCTAGGTCAGTCACAGTCTGACAGTTTGCCTGCTGTATTTGTAATAACCATTTTCCTCTGGACTGTTCATATAAAAAAAGGTAACTAATTTCTTTATCTCTTTTTGCTCTTAGTTAAGATTCTCATTATAGCATTTAAATGGCATGGATTAAAATTTTCTTGTTAAGGAGAATTCACAAGCTAACTTCCACTTAATCCATTACCCTTTATTTTATTGAAATGTAATTAACTGAAGAAAATATTCTTTTGGGGAGTATGTTGTCATAACATTTAAAGAGATTTCCTTTAAATTACTGTTTTATGTTGATCTACATATTTCTGTATATTTGTCATGACAGTGCTTGCTTCTATTTGATGTCCTAAGCAAATAAACTCGTTTTAAACAAAACCAAACTGATTTACTATGGTATACATTAAATGAAAACTTTACTCTTATTGAAACTTGAGGTTAAAATCTCTGTAGTAGGCAGTTATGCTGAGATAATGAAAAGTATAAAGTATGCATGGTATGCTAAAATCATAAAATGGCCTATAACTTCATAGTAGTTACTTGGTGCTGAGTAGATTCCCGATGACACTCTGACTTGTCCCAATTCAGCCTTAGGCTGTCCCTTCCTGCTTTAAGGAGCTCTGGTGATGCAGTCCATAGCTAGTCCTGCTGGTAACCTAAAGGCTACTCTGGTGCTTCATATCCACCAGTAGCTGCTTAGAATCAAGGTGTACAGTCTTGTCTTTTTGGAAAACAGTCAGAACCAGCTCAGTGATAATGAATTTGTGCTTTAGCATCAGATATTTGCTGAGCTTATCTCTTCCTGCTCCCCATTACAGCCAAGTTTTACCCTGCTTTTGTCATTGGTTGAGAATGCAGTTTTGTATCCCACCTCCAGTGTTATAATTGTTGTTAATGTGCCATCGAGTTACCTGTGAATCATAGCAACCCTGTGTACAACAGCCCTAAACTCTGTTCTATCCTGAGCCAATCTCACTGTCTCCAACACACCCACCCCCATTACCCCAGTCACTGAATCATTGTTGTAGTAGATAGTAAAATATTATCAACTGTCATTGTTTCTAGTCGTTAACATTTGCGAGTTATTTTTCCTTTTAATATTCAGCTGACACATTCTCAGAATGGTTAATTTTAGCTGCATCTGTTTGCTGCTCTCTTTGTAGTTACTCAATCCTTTGTAGTAGACACTTTTATCTCCTTTAATTTCTTAGTGGCAATAGATCTTTAACTGTATCCTGGAAGATACATATTTGTTCTCTTTTCTGAGAAAAGTAATCCAACAAAATGCTAAAATTATCAAAACAGTATCAGCTATATCACGTGCAAGCAAAATATTGGTGAAAATCATCCAAAAATGGCTAAAATAGTACATTGACCAACAACTGCCCATAGTTCAAACTGTGTTTAGAAGAGGCCATGGCACCAAGAATAATTTTGCTTATGTAAGTTTGATCCTGGCTGAAAATAGAGAATACCATATGAATGTGTCAAACTGTTTTATTGCCTAAGCACAGGCATTTGACTGGATCATAACTATAAGAATGGGAATCCCAGAACATTTAATCATGTTCATATGAAACTAGATACAGAAGCTGTTATGTGGGGTGGGGGCGGGGGGGACGACAACAGCAAGGCTTCCATACCTGTTTGATCTGTATGCTAAACAGATCATTTGAGAAGCTGGACCATATGAAGAAGAATGTGCCGTCAGGATAGGAAGAAGACTCAAGCAGTCTGAATTAAACATGACACAACATTGCTGAAAGTGAGGAGGACTTGAAGTGCTTGCTACAGAAAAAAAGATCAGAGACCATAACCTTTCAATGTGGACTGCATCTCAACATCAAGAAGGCAAAAATCCCCACCACTGAGGATAGGCAACATTATTTATGATAGATGGAGAAAAGATTGTAATTGTCAACAACTTCATTTTACTTGGATCCATACACTTGGCACCGGCAGTCAAGAAAAGACGCACTGTTGGGAAAGTCTGCTGTCAGGAGCAATGATGCCAGTTTGAGGGCTGAGCTGCACCTGATTCAAGCCATGGTCTTCTCATTCACTTGTTACGCATCTGAGAGCTGGACAGTGAATTATTAAGAATGACAGATGAAATATTTATGTCTTTGAATTGTGATGTTGGAGAATAGTACTGAATATTCAGTGGGCTGCCCAAAGGACAGACAGGTATGTCTTGGATAAGGTGCTCCCTTCCATCCAGAGTGCTCTCTGTATAGGAAGTTTAATCTAACATCTCCTTTGTAAGTGACTCATTGTATTTCTCATCCTGTATTAAAATTATAAAGACCTGACTTAATGGTGAGATAGACTGGAACCACTAGACACCCTTCCAGTCGGGGACTGAATTCACCTCCAGGAACCATATTTCAGCCAGGCCTATAAAGTGAACTGTAGAGTACCCTCTTCAGGAATATACTGCTCAGAATAACCAGACTGACAGTATTTGACCCAAAGCAAAACTCAGGAGGGTTGAGTGGATATGAGAATCCTAGAGAAAAAAACAATACACTGAAGGAAGTATGGTAGTAATTTACGCGTTTACAGTCTGTTCTGCCAAGATTAGTGGCAGACTAGAAATATGGGCAATCTCCTGCTATGCGATAAACAGCCTCTGAAAACATGATAGAGAGCTATGGCTCATTTCCAATTTGGCAGCACACAGCAACAACAGTTACTAAAAGGCAGAAGTCATCAATGTCCCAAATGTTTGATCTGCTGTACCACTACATGATTTCCTATGTCAGCTATACCTCGTTTGTTTAATTCCCCTGCTCTTCTGTGTCCTTTGGTTTCTGTGGTTTGCTGAAGGTCTCACAGAAATCCAAACTAGGTGTTGCAGACTGAAGAGCAAATGGACCAGGCTTCCCTAGCAGTGAGTTTCAGCACAGCCCAATGCTGTCTCACAAAAGAGCATTGAGCTTCCATGAGTTTATATAGGCCTCCAGTAGGGCTTGTATCCCACCCTGACTTTGCCTCCTTAATACAATAAGTATTTAAGAACAAAATAAAAAATTAATCTATGGCCAAGAAAGCCATTTTGAACAGTAAAGCCTTTACACCACAGAGAGCACTCTTCTACCCATTTACGCTTCATACTTGAATTAATTCTTAGTTACTTAGTAAGAACTACATTTACCAACATGCATAAGCTAGCTACTGCATGCCTTGGGCCTTAATATCCCCATTTTAGACAGTTTATAATTTGCCCACCCTTCCCAAATCAGTACTCTGAGGAAACAAGCACAATCGTCTGTTCCTCATTAAGTAACAGGATATTTCAACAAATCCAATCCAGAGCAAACTACCAGATTACAGCAGTCAGCACAAACCCGCAGCATGAAACATCCTCTCTTCATTTGGTTGGTTTCTGGTCAACTCAGCCCTGGTCATTTATGGGTAACAACTTTTCCCTTGTCTGTGCCAGATGACTCCAGTTTCTAAAAGTCAAAGTACTCCCTGCCCCCATTTTCTTTGAAATGTAAATCAGTTCAAAGTCCAAGGTGAGTACAAATCCTTTCAAATCAAGTATCTTCAGGGTACTGGGTGTGGTAGAATCTTATCCCAGGCTAAACCTCCTGTCCCCTACCAAGTTCTGCTTTCAACAAGCATTTCCCCATGATGATAGTGGTGGCTCTCTGCCCTATCCTGAGCTAATCTGACTGTCTCTGACATACCTGCCTCCATTGCCACAGACTCTGTCTATCCATCTCATCCAGGGTCTTCCTCTCCTATGCTGACCCTGTTCCCTTCCAAGCATGATGTCCTACTCCAAGGACACCAGGATCCCTCCTGTCCACATGCTCTAAGTATGTGAAATGGAGTTTCAGAATCCTTGCCTCTAAAGAGCAGCCTGATTTCACCTCCAAGACAGACCTATTTGTTCTCCAGGGTAAGTTTTCCTTTTTCAGCATATCCAAACAAGTATTAGCCGAAGGTGGGCTTACCGTGTTCCTTTAAATTAACAGCATATCCCATTATTATAACATCTGGTATTGATTTTTACAATATATTACATATCCTTCATATTTTTACAAGATACTGAGTCTTTTAAGATATCTTAACATGACAGCACTGAAGAAACAAGTTTCCATTAAGTACACCGTTAAATCTATCTTGACTTCACTTTTCTGATCTCCAACATTTAGCAAGAGAATATTCTCTTATTCTGAGTCTCTTTTTTTTTTATTAAATTTTATTAGTTTTAATGTACGTTTACAGAGATTATGGGTTTTCATTTCATTCATTGTTGCACTGTTTTCTCCACCCTCATCCCCAGTTCGTTCTTTCCCCCCACCAATGTCTGTTTTAATTGTCCAATTGCCACAGTGCTTGTCAAAGCCAGTTCTGATTAATCTCCTTTGTCAGTGTGTCCCTTGCCATTCCCTATCACTCCTCCCTGAGAGAGACTTCACCCTGATTCATAAGGAAAAGGGGATGGCGTATTCTCTTAGCTACTTCCTGCTGAAAAGGGACACTGTGGGTTTCAGGGTGAATGTCTTCTCTCACTACTCTAAAGGGCCCCCTTGACAGTAGGAAACACATAGACTATTATGGAGATTGATTTTGGAATTTAGATGCACTGTTACCAGTTGTGCTTAGCCATACATGTTCATATCCTTGAAGATGTATCATGGAAGTGTTGTAGCCTAGAAGATACAAATTTAACAAGTTAAAAGTGCATGAGTCAGAAATGGAAAAGCAATAATATTCTGAGTAGAGGTTCTAATAGTGGCACAAACCAAGTTACAGAGGTAAGGTGGTTCCATTGCCATCCTTACTCTAACTTAATTATTTAATTTAAATTTGTTATTAATTTCAGTGAAAATTTACAGAGGCTTTGGATTTCCATTCATTCATTGTTGTAGATTTGTCCCCTCCAAAGGCTCACCCCCCACCAGACATTACCCTCTTGGAAAAGTAAAAGAAAAGATTCTTTCATTATTTTACAAACCCTCCCCCAGGTCCACTCCACCATGTAGCCATCGCTCTAGACTCCTGTCATGACAGAAATACCTAATCACATATCTCTTTTAAACAGTTTTCTGCCTCCTCTGTTTCAGTGCAGTATACATTATTGAACCCATCTTACTCAGTCTGTCCCCAATCCCAAGGACAGTCCCATTCTACAATAGTGGCACCATGTAATATTTGTCCCTTTGTGACTGGGACATTTCACTCAGCTTAATGTTCTCCAGTGTCAACCATTTTGAGTAATATTGCATGAGTTCCTTGTTTTTTAATGCAGCATAGTATTCCATTGTGCGAATATACCACAGCTTCTTTAGCCATTCGTTTGTTGATGGGCACTTAGGTTGTTTCCAACTCCTTGCTATTGTGAACAAAGCTGCAATAAACATGGC